GTGTATTGAGACGAGTCTCAATAAAGGCACTGACCTAGGTCACAGAGAAATGTATAAGCTTATTAATTATAGCGAAAAACATGATCAAAATCCTGATCTATACTTACAACGTATCTTCCAACAGCGCTCGAACGACAACCCACGGAATCACAAATATCAAGGGACTTACTGGAAATTTATTAAAAGAAAACATAAGGGATATAGTCGTTTAATTATTTACCATATCATCTTATAGAACTCAATTCCAAATACTTATAATCTGAGTATAATTTATGAATAAGTAGTTTTGGGCACTGTTGCGCTTAGTCAGGCCCGCAGCCAGACTTGATTGTATGGAGGGGTGATTAATATATCTGCAGAGGTAATTATGTATGGTGTTTTGTTGCAGTAATGGAATTGGTCATTCTAATTAAAAAAAGACCAAACTTCCCTTCCCTTTTATATTACCCTTTATAGCCACTTCAGTAAGGGTCTAACGACGGGTCTAATGTTCGATTGAACATTCATCAAATTACTCTTTTGACCTAACCTCGTACGCTCCATGGCATTAATCTAGTCTGAGATATCGAAATTTGCTGGATGCGGACGTTAACTTGTCATCTGCAAACTAACCAACCTTTAGTAATTTGACCATTGGACACTACTAGAGTTTCAGAGCACCGGTACATTGCCGTAAGGAAATACAGTAATCTGATTAGTCTTATTGGAGAGGTTTTGATCAACACAAAACTGGGACACTAAACCATCAAAGGGTAATCAATGCAATATTCTAATTGATTGATAAAACTGAAAGAGCTGAAAGCTGGTGACTCTCAACGGTAGTGGACGAGGCATGGGTAATTATAAATCATACTCACACCAACCCAAGCCGATATACCATTTAATTCTATTTTTCTCTGAAAATACGGCCACTATGATTAGAGTGTGTAGATTCAGTCCTTCGATAAACAACCAAAAATAGTTGGCCAATAAAACGTAGTGGAACATTGCTAGTAGTAGTTTGCATTGCCAGTGCTGAAACGAAATGAAATGAAACGAAATGAATTGAAAATGGACTGAAATAGTTAGCTAATAAAACATAACGGAACTTTGTTAGAAGGAGCTTACATTGCCAGTGCTGAAACGAAATGAAATAAAACGAAATGAATTGAGAGGTACTTAATGAAATGAAATGGATTAAAACTGAACAGAAATAGTTAGCTAATAAAACATAGTGGAACATTGTTAGTAGTAGTTTGCATTGCCAGTGCTGAAACGAAATGAAATAAAACGAAACGAAATGAGAGGTACTTAATGAAATGAAATGGATTAAAACTGAACAGAAATAGTTAGCTAATAAAACATAGTGGAACATTGTTAGTAGGAGCTTACATTGCCAGTGCTGAAACGAAATGAAATAAAACGAAACGAAATGAGAGGTACTTAATGAAATGAAATGGATTAAAAATCAAATGAAATAGCTGGCTAGTGGAATATTGTTAGTAGGAGCTTACATTGCCTGTGCTGAAACGAAAAGAAATTAAACGAATTGAGTGTTATCTAATGCTATGAAATGAAATGAAATGGGAAATTAAATGAAATAGTTGGCTAATAAAACATAGTGGGATATTGTTAGCAGGAGCTTACATTCCCGGTGCTGAAACGAAGTCAAGAGGGTGGCGTAGAGAGCTCCGGGCAGTCGTGACGCAAGGGATAAATCTCGTGACTGAATCGTAAACCTTGATATCGTTTTTGACACCCCGACTTTTCCCATATCTTCCAATGTGGTAGTGGTTGTGGAGCAGCCATATTGCGTACAGATGTGTATTGGATGCAGACACTGATATACAGCTGTGTTTTTTTCGTTTTTAAAGCNCGTCGGTCTATTTTGGGGTTGAATAGAACGTCCCCTGCTATAGAACAAGCTATACGAACTTCAACACTTTTAACATTAGCCGATTTATTTGTGAATGG